ATTTAAGAAAGGGGAAAGTTGAAGAATAAACTAAATCAGCTTCTCTTCTTCTTCCCCATGACCGTGCTCTCCTCCATAGCCAAAGGTAAAGCTTCATCTAGCTAGTTTTTCCTTTCGTTTTTGGTTTGTTCTTGAAACCTTGAGTGTTATAAAGGCTTAAGGAAGGGTTAAAAATTATTAAAACTAAGAGATGGATGTTTTAATTAAGATTGAAGAAAATAGGTTTTTGAATGATATTTTGGAATATGAGTTTTTATTGAGGTTTACTAGTATATTTGACTTGTCAAAAAAGTAAATAAAAAGATTATAAGCCTTGGATGTGATTAAAAACATGTTAGAAAAAGTAGTATGATTCTTGGTTTGAGATGTTCTTTGGAGAATTTAGATGTTATAAGAAGCTAAATGAAAGAAAGTTAGTTGGGTTAAGTGATGTTAAGTTTAAGGGTATTGTTTGAGGTAAAAGTAAGAGATTTAAATGAAATTGGGTAAAAATCGAGCTGAAAATGGAAAATCTAGGTAGGAGTATCGGGACTGGAAGAACAGTACCGATACTATAGGTTTAAATTTGAATAATTACGATGAACAATGCCGATACTGATGCAATTAGTATCGATACTGCTGTGGGTATCGATACCAAAAGAAAGGTATCAATACTATGGATTCCAGAATGCAGAAATCATATCGATACTGAAAGGGAGTATCAGTACCATAGTATAGAAGTATCGATACCATGGTAGGGGTACCGATACTATTGAGCCTGGAAAAGTTAAGATAGGTGGAATTTTGAAAGAAATTGAATATAATAGTACTTTTGAGTTTTATTAAAAGTATAAATGTTAGAGAGTATACTAACATTGGTATGTTATGTGTACTTAATGGATGCTTGTGTAGATCATAACCAAGCTCCCTAGTAAAGCAAGAAAAGGGCAAGGATAAAGTTGATGAGTAGTTGGACGTCATTACAACATACTAGGGCGGTATATCAGGTGAGTGCATTCATTGTATTTGTATAAAGGGAGGAAGACTAGCGATGAGTCAACCTTTAATGTTTTGTTTAAATGGATGTTTTACAGCATTTTGGAATATTTTCATAATGTATATAGAAATGATATTATGAATAAGTTTTAGAGTATGAACTGCTCTAAAATGAATGGATGAATGTTAATGTTGTGCAATGATTATAGATGTTACCAAAATAAATGTTTAAATCTATTAATTGGCATAAAAGGTGTCACTAATGAAAATGCATAACGGTGCATTATCGGCATAAAAGGTGCCACTAATGAAAATGCATAACGATGCATTATCGACATAAAATGTGTCAGTAATGAAAATGCATAACGGTGCATTATCGACATAAAAGGTACAACTAATGAAAATGCATAACGGTGCATTATCGGCATAAAAGGTGCCACTAATGAAAATGTATAACGGTGCATTATCGGCATAAAAGGTGTCACTAATGAAAATGCATAACGATGCATTATCGGCATAAACGGTCCCACTAATGAAAATGCATAACGGTGCATTATCGGCATAAAAGGTGCCACTCATGGTATTCATAAAAGGTGAATGACCATATCGGCACTTCGGTGCAATACATGTACTTTACATTCTCTTTTAACATACATTGACCAAAATAAAGGATAATTGGGAAAATATATAGAAAAATAGGTATGATGGGCATAATAAGAGTAGTTTCGAAAACTATATTAAAGAAACAATGGTTAAATGAGATGGTTTTTAATTGATCCTTATAAAGTATACGATTTAGTTCGTATTTCAAATAGCCGTGATATATTTATGCATGAATTACAGTTCCTTTACATTATTATACATCACTAAGTAAATACTTAACGTGTGTTGATTTCACGCGTAGCAGAGTAAGGAGTGCACTAGAGAACATCAATCTAAGGTTGCCTCATTAGTAACTATAGGACAATCATGTCTTCTTTTGATAATTAGATGGCATGTATATGAATTTAAGAAAATGCTTTGTAATGTATTCAAGTTAATACGTTGTAATAGGTTACAATGAATGTTTTATCTTATACTAAAATGTTTTGTTTTTATTTACGAAACAAAATTTTTATGCGTTTACAAATAAGAAAATATTTTTAAAAGTCATGTGACACTTGTGACTTGTGTACGAGAACGTATATGAGAAATGGGTGTTACATACTCACTATGTCTATCCCATAATAAAATACACTCCATCACAACCATTCTCCATATTACATAGTGATATTTGGGGACCTTCACATGTGGAAAGTATTAGTGGGGGCATTGATTTATATCCTTTATAGATAATCATTCTAGAATCACGTGAACTTTTCTTATGAAAGATATGTCAAAAACTAGGGGCACATTCAATTCCTTTTACATTAGGATTCAAACCCAATTTAAAAGCTCCAAATTCTAAAATCAAATAATGAGAGTGAATACTTTACAAACACTTTGGGTTCATACTTTAAAGAAAAGGGAATTTCAGAAAATAGAGAATTCAATTAATTCTTTTCATAAAATACCTATATTCTAGTATTCATCTAATCACTCCATTATTTGAGTGTCCATGGGCTGCGTTGTTTGATCTAGTATTCATTGCTGCCACAGTTTGAAAGATACCTTGTAAGGTTGTTTCCAAAGAATACACAATTGCATATAACTCTGGGAGAGTTAAAATCTTCTCTTTCTCAATTTCCGTATTACGATCGGTTCGTGACATTCTGAAACTCACAATAAAAAGAAAAACAAAACAAAAAACCTTACTATTAATCACTCCAAGGAAATAATATGCTTTAATAGGCTAGTTAGCCGATCTTTTACGTCTTTAAAACTGTCTTTCCACGATCCTCGACCGCACTTCAATGATGAATAACCCTATCAATGAACCTTAAAGCACTGAGAGTCCAAAATAAAAACTTAACACCAAGTGAATTTAGATGCAATGAGAAAAGAATTTTGCAACTTTTATATTCCTACTAACACAAGGATCAAAAGAGTGTTAGGAAATGTGTTGGAATCAATAAAAAGGTAAAACAAATGAATTCTAAGGCTAAGAGTGAAAGAAAAGGTAGATTATCCCATAACTTGAAAATTTGTAGAGAAACTTTACGATCTTCGTTTGAGGTGTTCCCTAAGTACAAAAATTCTGATATTTTGTGTGTAGCATCCTTGATTTATGTAGATGTGAACTAGAAGTTTTGGGCTCAAAATTTCTTCAATTGCTCTTGTCAAATTTTTTCTCTTTTTTGTTGATTCTTTTTCTTTTTTCTTTTTTTTGAGCAAGAATGTAACCTAATATTACCCGTAGACGTCACTTGAGAAGAAAGAATTAAGAAAAATAAATAAAAATAATTAAAATAACCCAAACCAATTTTTACGTTAATTTGAACAATAAGGCACCAAGAAACACAAAAAGGCACTTCAAGAAGCCACCAAGAACACCCAAATCTGATACTAAATGATACGAAAGCGAAGTCAAATAATATATAACAATGTAAGAAGATAGGATCAAGTTAGAATAAAGAACAAAACGATTCATTGGAAAAATATAGAAAGGTGATGTGAAGAAAACGATTGAAGATGAAGATGGTGTGGCGATGATATTGGTTTCGTCCTAGGAACCCTCTTGAACGCGATTGTTCAAGCAAACTCCGTCAAAGGATCTAATCAAACCTCCAAGAACGTACTCTTGGCACCCAAAGTGTGAAGATGAAATTCACCACGAAACTAAGAAGAGAACGTGTTAAAGAACAGCTTCGAAGGCAAAAGTAAAAGCACTTGAAAAAATATACTCAAAAAGCATATGTATTCAAGAAAGAAATTATTCAAGTCGTGCTTTACATGAGAAGAGACTGACTCCTTTTATAGTCTAAATGAGACACCAAAATACCATAAAAGATAGCTAATTAAACCCTAAAAATCAATACATGAATAGCTAATTAAAAGGGATGTGCAAATATTTTGGAATGTCTACTTTTTAGTACATGGAAAGATAAAAAGATGAATTCCTAAAAATCCACACATAAAGCATAATATATCAGCTTTTAATTATTTAATATAAAGTCTAATGGGGCCTTAGATATGATTTAGGCTTGTAGGGGTATTTGGGCCAGCAACTTGGCATTTTGTGATCCCAGTGTTCTTGAAGACTTGAAGACGTAGGCTTTCTTCATAAACTTCTTGATTCGTCATGAAGGCTTGCAAACCCTTACTTAAAAAATCCTGAGTCGTTGATTTCAATTTGTCTTTGAATTTCTTTGACAATGTCTCGTAATTGGTCCAGGTGGAAAAGTAAGTTCATCAAGTGTATGAGCCTTAGTGCATGTATCATCCAGGTTGTGTCAAAGATGAGCTTTACGAGATTCATGTCCTGCATACAACACTTTCTTTGACGAATGAGTATTAGTGAGCGCATGTAATCTTTGAATTGGACTCAACGCTTGTAGTCAATAAGATGTCTCGACCGAATGAGGACTTGTCCACATTGGGTTATCATCTTTGAGAAGCTCGTAGGATTTTGGATGCTAATTTAAATTACAAAGATTGTTTTGTTCCTAGTGTTTATAATATTGTGACACATACTTTGGTTAAGTGGACTCTCCGTTCTGGAAATATCATGTATTTTGACTTGATTTGTCTCGAGATTATTATGTCTGTTGTATCAAATGATTCTTCTCCTAGTAATAAGTGGTCCTAGGACACTCTTTTCTTTAGAAGAGGTTTTTAATCACACTCGTTTTTTTTTAAACTATTAACATTTGATTGATTGATTAATTAATTAATTCATCTTTAATTTATAATTCATAGTATCTCAATTCATTAAATAAATTTAAGCAGTGCCTATAGTCAACTACTACTACTTGGGCCTTTAGAATTGGAGAGCTGTAAACGAAGTCAACAACAAATATTATTGTTATACGTGGCGCGAGGAAAAAGAAGGGATATTGGAATCGAAATTGGTCGCCAAAGAGAAGAAAAGAATAAGCATTGAAGGAAGAATGGGACGGTGGAATGAGTCTCCGGTGGCGATAGCCGTTACTTCAGCGGTGATGGCGTTGGGCCTCTTTTCAATCTCAGCCACAGCATCAAGGCCCTGCAAGACCTTCCTCGTCTCCTCCTATTCCATCTCTTTACATAACCCTAACGACCCTTCCCACGCTGTCTCCTCCCGATTCGTCGACGTCTTCACTGAATTCGCCCAATCGAATACCTTACCCATACCCGCCGATCCTAAACCCTCCAATGTTTTCAGCTCTCTCCGTGATCGCAGCAGGGACATTCTCAGCGTGGTCGCCGCTCTCCTCCTCGGTGTCGGCTGCGGTGCTCTTACTGCCGCCACTATCTACTTGGTCTGGATGATCTTCACGGGCCGTCGCGAGTACCTTGAGGATTACGAGTCCGACGAAGAATTTAGTTCTAAAAAGAATGGGTATGTTAACATTCCTCCGAATCCTGCCGTCAACGTTAAGGAAGAAGCTCTTTGTAAAAAAGTTGGCATAGTTGTTATTAATAATAGAATAAATTCTGGGATTGATTTTTCAGTATTTCGGCCATCTCATGTCTATGTCTATGCATTTTATATATAATCAAAGTACTGCCACTGTTATTGTATTACTTTGGATGCTATTTACTGCGTGCTTTGTTCTAATGTGCTTTAATTTCCAATCGGTGCATTTTCTTTGTTTCTCTTAAAAGAAAAAGTAAAATGAAAATGCCATTTACTGCCTTAGAAACGGAATGATGTGGTGGCCGATGCATCCCTTTTTTGGTGTATCTATGGAAGGAAAAAATAGTAATTGTGTCAAGGTTATTATAATGTTTTGTTTTGGGGCAATTATTTACTGGCTTTCTATGCGATATTGATCAAAATGCCCTCATACAGCTTTTAAGCTTATTGGAATCGCATTTGTTTGATTGTGTGATGGGTCGATGAGAATAAGTTTGGCTTATGGCTGTTGGCGGTTCTCTCCTTCTGGTTTGGGTAGAGAGTCGCGCCTGGCAAGAGGTCGCTGTTAACCGTGTAGAGCAGAGGAGGGGGTGTGTGTGTGTGTCGTCCATAGGAAGATCGTTGGGGTCGTAGGGAGTCAGCCCCCTTTCCAATCTCAGTTGGGGATACTTACAATGGTCTTCAGTGTATGTGTGTTAACCACAGTGTTAGGATAGTTGTTTGTAGGTTGATTAGGTTATTATGAGCTAGTAGTCATACTTTGGATTTTGTACCGATAGGTCACTTAGACCTATCAGAGATCTTGTCTGAAGGTCTTGTTGGCACACTATAACTGAATTAAAAGGTTATTGAGGATTCCGGTGAAAGGATATATCTCCACTGAGGTGTAAATTAAATGGTTTCCCTTTTGTTCTGTGATTATGTGAACCTATGACTGTTACTTCTTGGATGCTAACCTTATGATGTTTCATGCGTTATACCAATGATTTGTTGCATCAATCATAACTGTCATATGCACTTCTGCCAAATTATCTGGTTTATCAATCATCATCTTAAGCAGTGCTAGAACCCTCTGTTTTAACATTTTCCCGCTTTCTCATCGAGAGGTAGAATCCAAAAGCTCAGTGAATGGTAATTGTGTTTTTTTCACAGACCTTAAGTTCAGTTGTAAATCAGCTATGAAGTATGTGATATTAATATGGTAATCTTCATAAGGCTTGGTTTTATTTGGCAATTGATTCAATGCCTCGCTTTCTTGGCTTAATCTACCTGGGACTTACCTTTCTGATCGAAGAACACGACTTTTCTGATGGGAAACAGTTTTTTCCCCCCTTTTATTATTATTGGAGTTATACTAAAGAAAGGATGTTTAGGTTTGAGGCTTAGTTAGCATTTAAGTAAAATAATTGGGTCAATATCTTAGTATTTATGTTTATATACTATTTAGGTATGAGGCTTAGTTAGCATTTAAGTAAAACGCCATAAAAACTTTGCTCACTCTTTTGTATCACTCAACTTTTTTTTTTCATCACTTTTAATTTTGTCAATAGTAGTATTGAACTTTAGGTTTACATTCAATTATATATTTTTATTGTTAAATCAATAATGAGATGATGATATAGCTTACTGATGTTGCTGCCACACTAAAATGATGTATGTCGTTTTGGTGCGGCTGTTTCAATACTAAAAACAAATCAAACGATCAGATTAAAGTTATTTGTTATCCATAAACATAGTAAAACAGATGCATAAATAACCAAAACATATGTAAAACTCTACCTACTTAAACTATGTCTAATTTTATATATATTATAAGTCTTTCCCGTGGATAACAATATAACTGGAAGAAAACTAAAATGTGTATAGGTATATCGATGTTTAAAAACATATACTCAAATATCTGAAGCAATGTTTGCATAAAGTTAAAACTTCGATATTAAGTTATATATTTTGGTAAATCATTGATATAAATTTAGTTTTCTATTAAATATTTTAATAAAAATATTAGTAGATTTGATATAGCTTTATGAATCTTAATATATGATTAAATATTTTTTATTAAAATATGATTAAATATTTTGGCGAAGTTTAAAATACTTTGCTTTAGGGTTAGAAATATTAGCCATTTCATGATTTGGTAAAGCGCTAGAAATATTAACGGTTAAAACCTACCAAAAAGTTCATATATTAGCCATTTCGTGAAAATTATTTTGCTCTTGTACGTTTGAAAAGTTTGTAATTTGGTCCAAAATGTTAAAATTATCGGTAATTGATTTAAATATTTTAGTTTGAATAGGTTCCACTTAATTTTAAACAGGTGTAAATTAATATTTCTAAAAAATATTTTCAAGTATGAATTTTTACATAAAATTTTCATAAACTTATATAATCTAAATACAAATTAATTTCTATTCTATTTTCAAACTCTGTTATCTTCACTTACAATAATATTACAAGTCAACGCATAAAATTAAGATGTTTAATGTTAAAAATGTACACTGAATTTAGGGGGGGAATAGATTTGAAGTGAGATCAGGGTTTTAATTAAAAAGGCAAAAGGGTAACTATTGCCCCTGTAGTAGACTTAATTTATCACTTCCGTCCCTATCGTATTTTGCATCAATTTAACACTCGAAGTTGCTCAATTGCATTATTCTATAACGCTACCCCTAACTTAAAATCTTAAATTATAATCCCTAACCCCTAAGCTATAACCCTATTACCTCTAAACACTAACTTAAGGTTTATAATTTAGGGTTTTAAGTTAGGGAATGGTAGGTCTACTACATGGGCAAAGGTGACCCAGTTAATTAAAAAAGATGATGCAATAATTATAAAAATAATTAAAATCTCATTAAAATTAAATTTAAAAATATATTATAATTTTATGTTACTTTAAAAAAATTAATCACAATTGAATATGTTTCATGTACCGAAGAAAACTATCAACACAACTATAAATCACTTTCAAAATGTATATAAATCAAATTACTCTCTTTTTAAGAGGAATTAAATTGCTTGATTTCAAAATTATCAAGAACTTAAAAGATGTTAAGAATCAAAATATTTAAGTCAACTAAGTATAATTTAAAAGTTTGGGCCAAAATATTTACTATTGGAACGTACATATATCACTAAAGAATATCAAGTTGGAATATTTCGTTAGGTGATAAATGATTGCAGCGACAGTTAAGCCCTTGCTCCGCATCATGTTAAGGTTCGTTTATTTACTGAATATAAAATTATTTTTTAGAATAAGATTATTAAAATGTAATATTAGTATAAAAATATTTTATTATATTGTTTGATTTATTTAACAGGAATATAAGATTATGATGTTTGGTTGAATAAATATAATATTATTTTAATATATATTTTACTAAATTATTCTTGTGATATATTTTTTTCTAAAAAGTTAAATTTTAATATTAAATTATAAAATATTTGAAAATTCAAAAATATTTTAATTGTTACACTATCTAACTTTTGAAAAAAATATAATTAATATAATTAGTATATTAAACTTATATTTTTAAATAATTATAATAGGTATCATATTGATTTATATAAAATATAATATAATATAAAAAATAATAATATTATGGTCTCGAGTCAATAAATATATTATTTTTCAATGTTTAAGATTCATTTTTTAATAATTCAAAGTTATACATTATTTTAAATAATTACATTTTTACAATAATATCATTTTCGTCTCATACAATTACAAATAATTAATATGTTGATTATTAAAAATATAAAATAATTTTAACTACTGAAATTTATTAATATTTTACTAAATTAAACTCTTTGTATATTATTAAAATGTTTATAATTTTGAGCAGAGCACAAAAAATAATAATTAAGAATGATCATTTTTAATTTATTAATTTAATGAAATTTGTCTAAAATGATGAAAATTGTATAATACCAAAAAAATCTCAAGTAATTATATTCTCATAATTTTAACCAAAAAATGTTACTATCGAGAAAAAATTATTATATAATAATCTTTGTAGTGAATCAAACGTGGGAATACAATACCATAAAAGATTATTCCCCTTAAAAATAATCTTTTTCGCAAACGGGCGAGAAGGTAAATTTATGTATTTTGTGATTTTATCTCCTTGCATACCATTATTACCGAAGTTGGAGTATTTTGTTAGGTGATAAATGACAGCAGATGAAGATGAGTGATTAATGCTTTAGCCCTCTAATCAGATGAGACGTTCATGAACCAAGCAACAGTCATCAACTTAGAGATGGATGATTTTGGACAGTGGATCTTTACGCCTATTTATGAAAGAATTCTCAACAAAAACTCTTCAAACAAGCTGGATATATTAAGTTAAACCTCACACAGTCACCCCAACTTCCGCATAACTTTAGAGTAATGTGTTTAAATGCAAGATCCCACAGTGAGATGATGTTGATTTTAAACTGTCATTTGTGGGGCTCCATATTCACCTTGTCAGTAACCACCTTCCTGTTGTTCAATACATTGATGAGGAGATCACTGGCTTGACGGGCGGACGGCCGCTCCTGCGCGACCGTTCTCGTGCACTGCAGTGCTATTTCAAGCACCTGATATGCTGCAGACTCCTCGCAAGGTAAGAGCGGTTTCAATGTAGGATCTATCAGCTCCCCACGATCAGAACCTTGCGTTTGGATACGCATCTCCACCCATCTCACCATGTCCATATCTACACCGAAAAAGCTGTCAGTTGGCATTTTCCCGCTTACAATCTCCATTAGCACGATTCCCATACTGTAAACGTCGGTCTTCTCGGTTGCTTTGAGCGTATAAGCGTACTCTGCGAACAGGAACGAGACTTTTTGAGCTTTAAACCATGTATAAAAAATATTGAAGATGTTAACTTGGTACTTACCTGGTGCAATATAACCATAAGACCCTGCAAACAATGAGTTCGATTCTATGTCGGAGATGGAGTCATAATTCTCCACAACTGATTTTGCTAGCCCAAAATCCCCCAAATGCGCTTCCATGTTAGAATCTAGCAACACATTGCTCGATTTGATGTCCCTGTGAACAATCTTCGGCACACAGTCGTGATGGAGGTACTCCACTCCTTGGGCTAATCCGACGGCAATCCTTATCCTAGCCTCCCAATCAAGGCTCTTCTTGATATTTACCGGCTGCTTATGC